AAACACGTCCTGATGCTCGTCCAATAACTATCAATTTAAATCCCTTTGTGTTCATTCCAGAAGGAAAGATGCATAATTTATGTTTATTTCATAATTTTTTATGGTGGTTGCGAGATCGTTCAAATTTTCCGGACCCGAACAGAAATTGATCACTGAAGACAATATATAAAATATAAAGTTTTCTCTTAGGAAACTTTTGGTAACTATTTGGACATTATAAACATTTCGCATATGAAAGTTCGAAATTTTCTGATGCACAAAAGTATTTTTAATGTTAAGATCAAAATTACTTTTCCTGACAGATAGGCAAGATGTGAAAAAATTACCCGCCCAACTTTTATATAAGAGCAATGTTATTATCTTCTATTACTTGCGTTTTTGTGAGAAAATAACAAAAAGGAAAACCACTACTCAGGAGAATTACGTCTCCATCTATTGAGAGATAACTGAACTTCCAAGTATTTAATAATGGCTGGAGACGGCTTGAATGGGTAATGAAGAAAAACTTTAATATAAGTTTAACATAACAGCAAATGTACAACGTTTCGACAAGGTTTTGTCATCATCAAAACGTTGTACATTTGCTTTAATGTTAAACTTATATTAAAGTTTTTCTTCATTACCCATTCAAGCCGTCTCCAGCCATTATTAGTCTCAAAGTGGGTTCCTCATCATCGAATTCCAAGTATTTCTTCTCCATCTATTGAGAGATAACTGAACTTCCAAGTATTTTTCTTTATTATCATTTTCTCCATCTATTGATAGATAACTGAATTTCCAAGTATTTTTTCTTAATTTTTTCTCCATCTATTGAGAGATAACTGAACTTCCAAGTATTTTTTCTTAATTTTTTCTCCATCTATTGAGAGATAACTGAACTTCCAAATATTTTTTCTCCGTCTATTGAGCGATAACTGAACTTCCAAATATTTTTCCTTATTATTTGTTTCTCCATCTATTGAGAGATAACTGAACTTCCAAGTATTTTTTTCTTAATTTTTTCTCCATCTATGAGAGATAACTGAACTTCCAAGTATTTTTTCTTAATTTTTTCTCCATCTATGAGAGATAACTGAACTTCCAAATACTTTTTCTTAATTTTTTCTCCATCTATGAGAGATAACTGAACTT